CACGTCCACGTCCACGTCCACGTCCATGTCCACGTCCACGTCCACGTCCACCTGCATGTCCACGCCCACGTCCATGTACACGTCCACGTCCACGTCCATGTCCACGTCCAAGTCCTCCACGTCCATGTCCACGTCCACGTTCACGTCCATGTCCACGTCCAAGTTCTCCACGTCCACGTCCACGTCCACTTCCACGTCCATGTCCACGTCCACGTCCATGTCCACGTCCAACTCCTCCACGTCCACGTCCACGTCCATGTCCACGTCAACGTCCACGTCCACGTCCACGTCTACGTTCACATCCACGTCCACAACCACGTCCACGTCCATGTCCATGTCCACGTCCACGTCCACGTCCACGTCCATGTCCACGTCCACGTCTACATCCACGTCCATATCCCCCTCCACGTCTACGTCCATGTCCACGTCCACGTCCACGTCCATGTCCACGTCCATGTCCACGTCCACGTCCACGTCCACGTCCATGTCCACGTCCATGTCCTCCTCCGCGTTTCCATCCGCTCTTCCCCTCTCCCCATCTCACTAGCTCCAGCCCATCCTTCCTCCCTCATTCCTTCCGAAGGGGTGGGATAGATGGGGAGGAACAGATGGGGAGAAACAGAGGTGGTCGCTACGCCACCACAATCGAACAGCGTTTTGATTCCCTCTCTGCTCCCCACCATCCTCCCCCCAGCTCTCTCCTCGGCATCTGCCCACGTTCCCCCCATCCTCTTCCCTGCTTCCCCGTATCCCTAGCCGTGCTTCCCTCTATCCTATCCCCTCTTACCCCGTATCCCCTGCCCTGCTTCCCCCCATCCCCTTCCCTGCTTCCCCCCATCCCCTTCCCTACTTCCCCCCATCCCCTTCCCACATCCATGTCCACGTCCATGTCCACGTCCACGTCCATGTCCACGTCCACGTCCACGTCCACGTCCACGTCCACGTCCATATCCACGTCGTCCATATCCACGTCTACGTCCACGTCCACGTCCATGTCCACGTCCACGTCACGTCCACGTCCACGTCCATGTCCACGTCCACGTCCACGTCCACGTCCATGTCCACATCCACGTCCATGTCCACGTCCACGACCATGTCCACGTCCACGTCCACGTCCACGTCCACGTCCATGTCCACGTCCACGTCCACGTCCACGTCCATGTCCACGTCCACGTCCACGTCCACGACCATGTCCACGTCCACGTCCACGTCCAAGTCCACGACCTCGTCCACGTCCATGTCCACGTCCACGTCCATGTCCACGTTCACGTCCATGTCCACGACCATGTCCACGTCCACGTCCACGTCCATGTCCATGTCCACGTCCACGTCCACGTTCACGTCCACGTCCATGTCCACGTCCACGTCTTCGTCCAAGTCCACGTCCACGTCCACGTCCATGTCCATGTCCACGTCCACGTCCACGTCCACGTCCACGACCATGTCTTCGTCCACGTCCACGTCCACGTCCATGTCCACGTCCATGTCCACGTCCACGTCCACGTCTACGCCCACGTCCATGTCCACGTCCACGTCCACGTCCACGTCCATGTTCCTCCACGTCCACGTCCACGTCAACGACCACGTCCACGTCCACGTCCACGTCCAAGTCTACGTCCATGTCTACGTCCACGTCCACGTCCACGTCCACGACCATGTCTTCGTCCACGTCCACGTCCATGTCCACGTCCATGTCCACGTCCACGTCCACATCCATGTCCACGTCCACGCCACGTCCACGTCCATGTCCATGTCCACGTCCACGTCCACGTCCACGTCCACGTCCACGTCCATGTCCACGTCCACGTCCATGTCCACGTCCAGGACCATGTCCACGTCCACGTCCACGTCCACGTCCATGTCCACGTCCACATCCACGTCCACGTCCACGTCCATGTCCACGTCCACGTCCACCTTCATGTCCACGTCCACGTCCACGTCCACGTCCACGACCACGTCCACGTCCACGTCCACGTCTACGTCCACGTCCACGTCCACGTCCATGTCCACGTCTACGTCCACGTCCACGTCTACGTCCATGTCTACGTCCACGTCCACGTCTATGTCCACGTCTATGTCCACGTCCATGTCCACGTCCAAGTCGTCCACGTCCACGTCCACATCCACGTCCACATCCACGTCCAAGTCCTCCACGTCCACGTCCACGTCCACGTCCACTTCCACGTCCACGTCCACGTCCACGTCTACGTCCACGTCCACGTCCACGTCCATCTCCATGTCCACGTCCACGTCCACGTCTACGTCTACGTCCACGTCCACGTCCACGTCCACGTCCACGTCCATGTCCACGTCCACATCCATGTCCGCGTCCACGACCAGGTCCACGTCCACGTCAACGTCCACGTCCACGTCCACGTCCACATCCACGTCCACGTCCACGTCCACGTCCATGTTCCTCCACGTCCACGTCCACGACCAGGTCCACGTCCATGTCCACCTTCACGTCCACGTCTACGTCCATGTCTACGTCCACGTCCACGTCCACGACCATGTCTTCGTCCACGTCCATGTCCACGTCCAATTCCACGTCCACTTCCACGTCCACTTCCACGTCCATGTCCACGTCCACGTCCACGTCCACAACCACGTCCACGTCTACGTCCACGTCCACGTCCACGTCTACGTCCATGTGTACGTCCACGTCCACGTCCATGTCCACGTCCACGTCCATGTCCACGTCCATGTCCACGTCAACGTCCATGTCCACGTCCACGTCCATGTCCACGTCCATGTCCATATCCACGTCCACGTCCACGTCCACGACCACGTCCATGTTATTTGCACTCTAAGTTCCCATACTGACCGACCTGGCCAATGCACCATTTTCCATATACATATGCATTAGATTCCTTTCGAACCTTATTAGCTCACTAGATTTATATATTTCCCACCTTCTGATCGAGTGAGACCGCTAGATTCCCTCTACTTTTTGAGAAATGAGCGTTTCCGTTCTCCTTGGCCCTAGTTACTCTATAAGTGCGAAATGCCGGCCAGACTGGCCGACGCACAATTTTCTCTACACATGTTCGTTAGTTACCTTTCAAACCCTTATGTTCACTAGATGAATATATTTCCTACTTTCTATTTGGGTGAGACCACTTGATTCTGTGTACTATGCGAGATCTGAGCGCTTCCGTTCTCCCTGGCATTTGCATTTTAAGTTCCGATACAGACCGACCTGGCCAATGCACCATTTTCTCTATACCTGTGCGTTGAATACATTTCAAACCTTTTTAGCTGACTAGATTTATATATTTCCCACCTTCTGATTGAGTGAGTTCGTTAGATTCCCTCTACTTTTTGAGAAACGAGCATTTTCGTTCTCCCTGGCCCCACCTGCACTATAAGTGCGAAATGCTGGCCAGACTGGCCGATGCACCATTTTCTCTACACATGTGCGTTAGTTACATTTCAAACCCTTACGTTCACTAGATGAATTTATTTCCTACCTTCTATTTGAGTGAGACCACTAGATTCCGTGTACTATGCCAGATCTGAGCGCTTCCGTTCTCCCTGGCATTTGCACTCTAAGTTCCCATACTAACCGACCTGGCCAATGCACCATTTTCCATATACATATGCATTAGATTCCTTTCGAACCTTATTAGCTCACTAGATCTATATATTTCCCACCTTCTGATCGAGTGAGACCGCTAGATTCCCTTTACTTTTTGAGAAATGAGCGTTTCCGTTCTCCTTGGCCCTACTTGCACTATGAGTGCGAAATGCCGGCCAGACTGGCCGATGCACCATTTTCTCTACACATGTGCGTTAGTTACCTTTCAAACCATTACGTTCACTAGATGAATTTATTTCCTACCTTCTATTTGAGTGAGACCACTAGATTCCGTGTACTATGCGAGATCTGAGCGCTTCCGTTCTCCCTGGCATTTGCACTCTAAGTTCCCATACTGACCGACCTGGCCAATGCACCACTTTCCATATACATATGCATTAGATTCCTTTCGAACCTTATTAGCTCACTAGATTTATATATTTCCCACCTTGTGATCGAGTGAGATCACTAGATTCCCTTTAATTTTTGAGAAATGAGCGTTTCCGTTCTCCTTGGCCCTACTTGCACTATAAGTGCGAAATGCCGGCCAGACTGGCCGATGCACAATTTTCTCTACACATGTGCGTTAGTTACCTTTCAAACCCTTACGTCCACATCCACGTCCATGTCCACGTCCACGTCCATGTCCGCGTCCACGTCCGCGTCCACGTCCGCGTCCGCGTCCACGTCCACGTCCACGTCCACGTCCACGTGCATGTCCACGTCCACGTCCACGTCCACGTCACGTCCACGTCCATGTCCACGTCCACGTCCACGTCCATGTCCACGTCCACGTCCACGTCCCGTCCCCGTCCATGTCCACGTCCACGTCCACGTCCACGTCAGGTCCACGTCCACGTCCATGTCAGGTCCACGTCCACGTCCACGTCCACGTCCACGTCACGTCCACCTCCACGTCTATGTCCACGTCCACGTCCACGTCCATGTCCACGTCCTTGTCCACGTCCACGTCTACGTTCACGTCCACGTCCACGTCCATCGCCACGTCCACGTCCACGTCCACGTCCACGTCCATGTCCACGTCCATGTCCACGTCCACGTCCACGTCCCGTCCCCGTCCATGTCCACGTCCACGTCCACGTCCACGTCAGGTCCACGTCCACGTCCATGTCAGGTCCACGTCACGTCCACGTCCATGTCCACGTCCACGTCCACGTCCACGTCCACATCACGTCCACGTCCATGTCCATGTCCACCTCCACGTCCATGTCCACGTCCACGTCCACGTCCCGTCCCCGTCCATGTCCAGGTCCACGTCCACGTCCACGTCACGTCCACGTCCATGTCCATGTCCACGTCCACGTCCATGTCCACGTCCACGTCCACGTCCCGTCCCCGTCCATGTCCACGTCCACGTCCACGTCCACGTCAGGTCCACGTCCACGTCCATGTCAGGTCCACGTCACGTCCACGTCCACGTCCACGTCCACGTCCACGTCACGTCCACCTCCACGTCTATGTCCACGTCCACGTCCACGTCCAGGTCCATGTCCACGTCCACGTCCACGTCCACGTCTACGTTCACGTCCACGTCCATCGCCACGTCCACGTCCACGTCCACGTCCACGTCCATGTCCACGACCATGTCCACGTCCACGTCCATGTCCACGTCCACGTCCACGTCCATGTCCACGTCCACGACCACGTCCACGACCACGTCCACGTCCACGTCCACGTCCACGACCACGTCCACGTCCACGTCCACGTCCACGTCCACGTCCACCTCCACGTCCACGTCCACCTCCACGTCCACGTCCACGTCCACGTCCACGTCCACGTCCAGGTCCAGGTCCACCTCCACGTCCACGTCCACGTCCACTTCCATGTCCACGTCCACGTCCACGTCCGTGTCCACGTCGACGTCCACGTCCACGTCCATGTCCACGTCCACGTCCATGTCCACGTCCACGTCCACGTCCATGTCCACGTCCACGTCCATGTCCACGTCCACGTCCACGTCCATGTCCACGTCCAAGTCCTCCACGTCCACGTCCGCGTCCACGTTCACGTCCATGTCCACGTCCAAGTTCTCCACGTCCACGTCCCGTCCATGTCCACGTCCATGTCCACGTCCGCGTCCACGACCACGTCCGCGTCCACGACCACGTCCACATCCACGTCCGCGTCCACGTCCACGTCCACGTCTACGTCCATGTCCACGTCCACGTCCGCGTCCAGGTCCACGTCCACGTCCACGTCCGCGTCCACGTCCAGGTCCGCGTCCACGTCCGCGTCCACGTCCACGTCCACGTCCACGTCCCCGTCCATGTCCATGTCCCCGTCCACGTCCACGTCCACGACCACGTCCACGTCCACGTCCACGTCCACGTCCACGTCCACGTCCACGTCCAGGTCCACGTCTACGTCCATGTCCACGTCCATGTCCACGTCCACGTCCATGTCCACGTCTACGTCCATGTCCACGTCCATGTCCATGTCCATGTCCACGTCCACGTCCACGACCACGTCCATGTCATTTGCACTCGAAGTTCCCATACTGACCGACCTGGCCAATGCACCATTTTCCATATACATATGCATTAGATTCCTTTCAAACCTTTTTAGCTCACTAGATTTATATATTTCCCACCTTTTGATCGAGTGAGACCGCTAGATTCCCTCTACTTTTTGAGAAATGAGCGTTTCCGTTCTCCTTGGCCCTAGTTGCACTATTAGTTCGAAATGCCGGCCAGACTGGCCGACGCACAATTTTCTCTACACATGTGAGTTAGTTACCTTTCAAACCCTTATGTTCACTAGATGAATATATTTCCTACTTTCTATTTGGGTGAGACCACTTACTTCCGTGTACTATGCGAGATCTGAGCTCTTCCGTTCTCCCTGGCATTTGCATTTTAAGTTCCAATACTGACCGACCTGGCCAATGCACCATTTTCTCTATACATGTGCGTTGAATACATTTCAAACCTTTTTAGCTGACTAGATTTATATATTTCCCACCTTCTGATCGAGTGAGACGGTTAGATTCCCTCTACTTTTTGAGAAACGAGCGTTTCCGTTCTCCCTGGCCCCACCTACACTATGAGTGCGAAATGCCGGCCAGACTGGCCGATGCACCATTTTCTCTACACATGTGCATTAGTTACCTTTCAAACCCTTACGTTCACTAGATGAATATATTTCCTACCTGATATTTGAGGGAGACCACTAGATTCCGTATATTATGCGAGATCTGAGCTGTTCTGTTCTCCCAGGCATTTGCACTCTAAGTTCCCATACTGACCGACCTGGCCAATGCACCACTTTCCATGTACATATGCATTAGATTCCTTCCGAACCTTATTAGCTCACTAGATTTATATATTTCCCACCTTCTGATCGAGTGAGACCACTAGATTCCTTCTTCTTTTTGAGAAATGAGCGTTTCCGTTCTCCTTGGCCCTAGTTGCACGATAAGTGCGAAATGCCGGCCAGACTGGCCGATGCACAATTTTCTCTACACATGTGCGTTAGTTACCTTTCAAACCCTTACGTTCACTAGATGAATATATTTCCTACTTTCTATTTGAGTGAGACCACTTGATTCCGTGTACTATGCGAGATCTGAGCGCTTCCGTTCTCCCTGGCATTTGCATTTTAAGTTCCGATACTGACCGACCTGGCAAATGCACCATTTTCTCTATACATGTGCGTTGAATACATTTCAAACCTTTTTAGCTGACTAAATTTATATATTTCCCACCTTCTGATTGAGTGAGACCATTAGATTCCCTCTACTTTTTGAGAAACGAGCGTTTCCGTTCTACCTGGCCCAACCTGCACTATGAGTGCGAAATGCCGGCCAGACTGGCCGATGCACCATTTTCTCTACACATGTGCATTAGTTACCTTTCAACCCTTACGTTCACTAGATGAATATATTTCCTACCATATATTTGAGTGAGACCACTAGATTCCGTGTATTATGCAAGATCTTAGCGGTACCGTTCTCCCAGGCATTTGCACTCTAACTTCCCATAGTGACCGACCTGGCCAATGCACCACTTTCCATATACATATGCATTAGATTCCTTCTGAACCTTATTAGCTCACTAGATTTATATATTTCCCACCTTTTGATCGAGTGATCCCGCTAGATTCCCTTTACTTTTTGAGAAATGAGCGTTTCCGTTCTCCTTGGCCCTACTTGCACTATGAGTGCGAAATGCCGGCCAGACTGGCCGATGCACCATTTTCTCTACACATGTGCGTTAGTTACCTTTCAAACCATTACGTTCACTAGATGAATTTATTTCCTACCTTCTATTTGAGTGAGACCACTAGATTCCGTGTACTATGCGAGATCTGAGCGCTTCCGTTCTCCCTGGCATTTGCACTCTAAGTTCCCATACTGACCGACCTGGCCAATGCACCACTTTCCATATACATATGCATTAGATTCCTTTCGAACCTTATTAGCTCACTAGATTTATATATTTTCCACCTTCTGATCGAGTGAGATCACTAGATTCCCTTTAATTTTTGAGAAATGAGCGTTTCCGTTCTCCTTGGCCCTACTTGAACTATAAGTGCGAAATGCCGGCCAGACTGGCCGATGCACAATTTTCTCTACACATGTGCGTTAGTTACCTTTCAAACCCTTACGTCCACATCCACGTCCATGTCCACGTCCACGTCCATGTCCGCGTCCACGTCCGCGTCCACGTCCGCGTCCGCGTCCACGTCCACGTCCACGTCCACGTCCACGTGCATGTCCACGTCCACGTCCACGTCCACGTCACGTCCACGTCCATGTCCACGTTCCGTCCCCGTCCATGTCCACGTCCACGTCCACGTCCACGTCAGGTCCACGTCCACGTCCACGTCCACGTCCACGTCCACGTCCACGTCCGCGTCCACGTCCGCGTCCGCGTCCACGTCCACGTCCACGTCCACGTCCACGTGCATGTCCACGTCCACGTCCACGTCCACGTCACGTCCACGTCCATGTCCACGTCCCGTCCCCGTCCATGTCCACGTCCACGTCCACGTCCATGTCAGGTCCACGTCACGTCCACGTCCACGTCCACGTCCACGTCCACGTCACGTCCACCTCCACGTCTATGTCCACGTCCACGTCCACGTCCACGTCCACGTCCATGTCCACGTCCTTGTCCACGTCCACGTCTACGTTCACGTCCACGTCCACGTCCATCGCCACGTCCACGTCCACGTCCACGTCCACGTCCACGTCCATGTCCACGTCCATGTCCACGTCCACGTCCACGTCCCGTCCCCGTCCATGTCCACGTCCACGTCCACGTCCACGTCAGGTCCACGTCCACGTCCATGTCAGGTCCACGTCACGTCCACGTCCATGTCCACGTCCACGTCCACGTCCACGTCCACATCACGTCCACGTCCATGTCCATGTCCACGTCCACGTCCATGTCCACGTCCACGTCCACGTCCCGTCCCCGTCCATGTCCAGGTCCATGTCCACGTCACGTCCACGTCCATGTCCATGTCCACGTCCACGTCCATGTCCACGTCCACGTCCACGTCCCGTCCCCGTCCATGTCCACGTCCACGTCCACGTCCACGTCAGGTCCACGTCCACGTCCATGTCAGGTCCACGTCACGTCCACGTCCACGTCCACGTCCACGTCCACGTCACGTCCACCTCCATGTCTATGTCCACGTCCACGTCCACGTCCACGTCCATGTCCACGTCCTTGTCCACGTCCACGTCTACGTTCACGTCCACGTCCACGTCCATCGCCACGTCCACGTCCACGTCCACGTCCACGTCCACGTCCACGACCATGTCCACGTCCACGTCCATGTCCACGTCCACGTCCACGTCCATGTCCACGTCCACGACCACGTCCATGTCCACGTCCACGTCCACGACCACGTCCACGTCCACGTCCACGTCCACGTCCACGTCCACGTCCACCTCCACGTCCACGTCCACCTACACGTCCACGTCCACGTCCACGTCCACGTCCACGTCGACGTCCACGTCCATGTCCACCTCCACGTCCACGTCCACGTCCACTTCCATGTCCACGTCCACGTCCACGTCCGTGTCCACGTCGACGTCCACGTCCACGTCCATGTCCACGTCCACGTCCATGTCCACGTCCACGTCCACGTCCATGTCCACGTCCACGTCCATGTCCACGTCCACGTCCACGTCCATGTCCACGTCCAAGTCCTCCACGTCCATGTCCGCGTCCACGTTCACGTCCATGTCCACGTCCAAGTTCTCCACGTCCACGTCCCGTCCATGTCCACGTCCATGTCCACGTCCGCGTCCACGACCACGTCCACATCCACGTCCGCGTCCACGTCCACGTCCACGTCTACGTCCATGTCCACGTCCATGTCCGCGTCCAGGTCCACGTCCACGTCCACGTCCACGTCCACGTCCAGGTCCGCGTCCACGTCCGCGTCCACGTCCACGTCCACGTCCACGTCCACGTCCCCGTCCATGTCCATGTCCCCGTCCACGTCCACGTCCACGTCCACGACCACGTCCACGTCCACGTCCACGTCCACGTCCACGTCCACGTCCAGGTCCACGTCTACGTCCATGTCCACGTCCATGTCCACGTCCACGTCCATGTCCACGTCTACGTCCATGTCCACGTAGATGTCCATGTCCATGTCCACGTCCACGTCCACGTCCACGACCACGTCCATGTCATTTGCACTCGAAGTTCCCATACTGACCGACCTGGCCAATGCACCATTTTCCATATACATATGCATTAGATTCCTTTCAAACCTTTTTAGCTCACTAGATTTATATATTTCCCACCTTTTGATCGAGTGAGACCGCTAGATTCCCTCTACTTTTTGAGAAATGAGCGTTTCCGTTCTCCTTGGCCCTAGTTGCACTATCAGTGCGAAATGCCGGCCAGACTGGCCGACGCACAATTTTCTCTACACATGTGAGTTAGTTACCTTTCAAACCCTTATGTTCACTAGATGAATATATTTCCTACTTTCTATTTGGGTGAGACCACTTACTTCCGTGTACTATGCGAGATCTGAGCTCTTCCGTTCTCCCTGGCATTTGCATTTTAAGTTCCGATACAGACCGACCTGGCCAATGCACCATTTTCTCTATACCTGTGCGTTGAATACATTTCAAACCTTTTTAGCTGACTAGATTTATATATTTCCCACCTTCTGATTGAGTGAGTCCGTTAGATTCCCTCTACTTTTTGAGAAACGAGCGTTTCCGTTCTCCCTGGCCCCACCTGCACTATGAGTGCGAAATGCCGGCCAGACTGGCCGATGCACCATTTTCTCTACACATGTGCATTAGTTACCTTTCAAACCCTTACGTTCACTAGATGAATATATATCCTACCTTATATTTGAGGGAGACCACTAGATTCCGTGTATTATGCGAGATCTGAGCTGTTCCGTTCTCCCAGGCATTTGCACTCTAAGTTCCCATACTGACCGACCTGGCCAATGCACCACTTTCCATATACATATGCATTAGATTCCTTCTGAACCTTATTAGCTCACTAGATTTATATATTTCCCACCTTCTGATCGAGTGAGACCACTAGATTCCCTCTTCTTTTTGAGAAATGAGCGTTTCCGTTCTCCTTGGCCCTAGTTGCACGATAAGTGCGAAATGCCGGCCAGACTGGCCGATGCACAATTTTCTCTACACATGTGCGTTAGTTACCTTTCAAACCCTTACGTTCACTAGATGAATATATTTCCTACTTTCTATTTGAGTGAGACCACTTGATTCCGTGTACTATGCGAGATCTGAGCGCTTCCGTTCTCCCTGGCATTTGCATTTTAAGTTCCGATACTGACCGACCTGGCAAATGCACCATTTTCTCTATACATGTGCGTTGAATACATTTCAAACCTTTTTAGCTGACTAGATTAATATATTTCCCACCTTCTGATTGAGTGAGACCATTAGATTCCCTCTACCTTTTGAGAAACGAGCGTTTCCGTTCTACCTGGCCCAACCTGCACTATGAGTGCGAAATGCCGGCCAGACTGGCCGATGCACCATTTTCTCTACACATGTGCATTAGTTACCTTTCAACCCTTACGTTCACTAGATGAATATATTTCCTACCATATATTTGAGTGAGACCACTAGATTCCGTGTATTATGCAAGATCTGAGCGGTACCGTTCTCCCAGGCATTTGCACTCTAACTTCCCATAGTGACCGACCTGGCCAATGCACCACTTTCCATATACATATGCATTAGATTCCTTCTGAACCTTATTAGCTCACTAGATTTATATATTTCCCACCTTTTGATCGAGTGATCCCGCTAGATTCCCTTTACTTTCTGAGAAATGAGCGTTTCCGTTATCCTTGGCCCTACTTGCACTCTGAGTGCGAAATGCCGGCTAGACTGGCCGATGCACAATTTTCTCTACACATGTGCGTTAGTTACCTTTCAAACCCTTAGGTTCACTAGATGAATATATTTCCTACCTTATATTTGAGTGAGACCACTAGATTCCGTGTATTATGCGAGATCTGAGCGGTTCTGTTCTCCCAGGCATTTGCACTGAAGTTCCCATACTGACCGACCTGGCCAATGCACCACTTTCTATATACAAATGCATTAGATTCCTTTCAAACCTTATTAGCTCACTAGATTTATATATTTCCCACCTTTTGATCGAGTGAGACCGCTAGATTCCCTTTACTTTTTTGAGAAATGAGCGTTTCCGTTCTCCTTGGCCCTACTTGCACTATAAGTGCGAAATGCCGGCAAGACTGGCCGATGCACCATTTTCTCTACACATGTGCGTTAGTTACCTTTCAAACCCTTACGTTCACTAGATGAATTTATTTCCTACCTTCTATTTGAGTGAGACCACTAGATTCCGTGTACTATGCGAGATCTGAGCGCTTCCATTCTCCCTGGCATTTGCACTCTAAGTTTCCATACTGACCGACCTGGCCAATGCACCACTTTCCATATACATATACATTAGATTCCTTCCGAACCTTATTAGCTCACTAGATTTCTATATTTCCCACCTTTTGATCGAGTGATCCGGCTAGATTCCCTTTACTTTCTGAGAAATGAGCGTTTCCGTTCTCCTTGGCCCTACTTGCACTATAAGTGCGAAATGCCGGCCAGACTGGCCGATGCACAATTTTCTCTACACATGTGCGTTAGTTACCTTTCAAACCCTTACGTTCACTAGATGAATATATTTCCTACCTTATATTTGAGTGAGACCACTAGATTCCGTGTATTATGCGAGATCTGAGCGGTTCTGTTCTCCCAGGCATTTGCACTCTAAGTTCCCATACTGACCGACCTGGCCAATGCACCATTTTCCATATACATCTGCATTAGATTCCTTTCGAACCTTATAATTTCACTAGATTTATATATTTCCCACCTTCTAATCGAGTGAGACTGCTAGATTCCCTTTACTTTTTGAGAAATTAGCGTTTCCGTTCTCCTTGGCCCTACTTGCACTATAAGTGCGAAATGCCGGCCAGACTGGCCGATGCACCATTTTCTCTACACATGTGCGTTAGTTACTTTTCGAACCCTTACGTTCACTAGATGAATTTATTTCATACCATCTATTTGAGTGAGACCACTAGATTCCGTGTACTATGCGAGATCTGAGCGCTTCCGTTCTCCCTAGCATTTGCACTCTAAGTTCCCATACTGACCGACCTGGCCAATGCACCATTTTCCGTATACATATGCATTAGATTCCTTTCGAACCTTATTGGCTCACTAGATTTATATATTTCCCACCTTCTGATCGAGTGAGACCACTAGATTCCCTCTACTTTTTGAGAAATGAGCGTTTTCGTTTTCCTTGGCCCTAGGTGCAAGATAAGTGCGAAATGCCGGCCAGACTGGCCGATGCACAATTTTCTCTACACATGTGTGTTAGTTACCTTTCAAACCCTTACGTTCACTAGATGAATATATTTCCTACTTTCTATTTGAGTGAGACCACTTGATTCCGTGTACTATGCGAGATCTGAGCGCTTCCGTTCTCCCTGGCATTTGCATTTTAAGTTCCGATACTGACCGACCTGGCCAATGCACCATTTCCTCTATACATGTGCGTTGAATACATTTGAAACCTTTTTAGCTGACTAGATTTATATATTTCCCACCTTCTGATCGAGTGAGACCGTTAGATTCCCTCTACTTTTTGAGAAACGAGCGTTTCCGTTCTACCTAGCCCCACCTGCACTATGAGTGCGAAATGCCGGCCAGACTGGCCGATGCACCATTTTCTCTACACATGTGCATTAGTTACCTTTCAAACCCTTACGTTCACTAGATGAATATATTTCCTACCTTATATTTGAGTGAGACCACTAGATTCCGTGTATTATGCGAGATCTGAGCGGTTCCGTTCTCCCAGGCATTTGCACTTTAAGTTCCCATACTGACCGACCTGGCCAATGCACCACTTTCCATATACATATGCATTAGATTCCTTTTGAACCTTATAAGCTCACTAGATTTATATATTTCCCACCTTTTGATCGAGTGAGACTGCTAGATTCCCTTTACTTTTTGAGAAATGAGCGTTTCCGTTCTCCTTGGCCCTACTTGCACTATAAGTGCGAAATGCCGGCCAGACTGGCCGATGCACCATTTTCTCTACACATGTGCGTTAGTTACCTTTCAAACCCTTACGTTCACTAGATGAATTTATTTCCTACCTTATATTTGAGTGAGACCACTAGATTCCGTGTATTATGCGAGATCTGAGCGCTTCCGTTCTCCCTGACATTTGCACTCTAAGTTCCCATACTGACCGACCTGGCCAATGCACCACTTTCCATATACATATGCATTAGATTCCTTTTGAACCTTATTAGCTCACTAGATTTATATATTTCCCACCTTCTGATCGAGTGAGACCGCTAGATTCCCTTTACTTTTTGAGAAATGAGCGTTTCCATTCTCCTTGGCCCTACTTGCACGATAAGTGCGAAATGCCGGCCAGACTGGCCGATGCACCATTTTCTCTACACATGTGCGTTAGTGACCTTTCAAACCCTTCCGTTCACTAGATGAATTTTTTTCCTACCTTCTATTTGAGTGAGACCACTAGATTCCGTGTACTATGCGAGATCTGAGCGCTTCCGTTCTCCCTGGCATTTGCATTTTAAGTTCCCATACTGACCGACCTGGCCAATGCACCATTTTCCATATACATATGTATTAGATTCCTTTCGAACCTTATTAGCTCACTAGATTTATATATTTCCCACCTTCTGATCGAGTGAGACCGCTAGATTCCCTTTACTTTTTTGAGAAATGAGCGTTTCCGTTCTCCTTGGCCCTACTTGCACTATAAGTGCGAAATGCCGGCCAGACTGGCCGATGCACCATTTTCTCCACACATGTGCGTTAGTTACCTTTCAATCCCTTACGTTCACTAGATGAATTTATTTCCTACCTTCTATTTGAGTGAGACCACTAGATTCCGTGTACTATGCGAGATCTGAGCGCTTCCGTTCTCCCTGGCATTTGCACTCTAAGTTCCCTTACCGACCGACCTGGCCAATGCACCATTTTCCATATACATATGCATTAGATTCCTTTCGAACATTATTAGCTCACTAGATTTATATATTTCCCACCTTATGATCGAGTGAGACCGCTAGATTCCCTTTACTTTTTGAGAAATGAGTGTTTCCGTTCTCCTTGGCCCTACTTGCTGTAT